ACCCCACAAGACATGAAAAAAATTCAGAGTTTAAATGCATCATACAGACTGAGACCATGGATCCATGCCTATATTAAGGCATAAAATTAATAGTATTTATTATTCAATGGAGCAAACGGCTATAAAGTGCAAGGAACGGGTCTCGTTACAGATGCTGTGTGAATCATAACTTTGATATTTCCTGATGCGTATTTAAAACTCCAGCCTCCAAACAGCACAGAGTATTTCTGGATAACATTACTATGTGTGCAAACAACATGTGCATGCAAACTATGCATCCACACTGACCGTTAAATAGGATTGCTACAGCAGCTGTCCAAGTTGCAGGCTCCTCTCTCAAGAAGTCAGACTGCTCCTGTCCAGCCAGATGCCAACTGTCAGCCAGCCAGGGCATGTGCTGCTGCTGCCTGCATACCCAAACATGGCCAAGTGGTCACCACGTTAGTCAGGTCTGTTAGAATGGCCGTGTGCTGGCATCAAAGACACGCTAGATAGGAGTGGGAAGGCCTGCAAAGACTGACACAAACACTTGGTGGAAGAGGGACAACAATGACATGACTGGCTGAGTGGCACAGGGATCACAATGCTGCCGGAAAGAAGATATTTTTAATGTCCACAACAGTGGGAATATTGTTTGATACAAACTTCACTCCAGCAAACTGCAGTGGACTGTTCCTAGTTCCTTCGTTCCTACTGATTTTGAGTAGCTGGAAGAGTTGCTACACAGACCTGGCATATCTTATATGTCATTCTGACTGCAACTTTTGAAATTACAAAACCATATGTAATAGAAGGCTTCAATAACCCTCCAGTTGACTTCTGAACTTGCTTCTGTTCAAGATCGCCTGCTCTTTTCCACCAACAGACCCTTAATGCTTACTGTCCCTGAGCTGCTTCTTTCCTAGAAGAGCTGGCCACCTCAGCCCTGGTGGCCAGAAGCAGAGTTGCTATTTTCCATCCCTTTTCTTCTGTAATCTGATCTATGCCTTCTTCCCTAATAAACATCAAACTTTTTTTAAAAAAGTCTTTTTACAATCCGAAAGCATCTGTACAAATCCTACCACAAATCCATTCCTATTCCAGAAATCCTTCAGCACCAGAAGTGACACTGACTAAAGTTTCAGCAGAAATCACATGGGAAGGGCCTAAATTAATAGTTGGCTACTACAGACTGTTTTATACCTGCTCTGTAAAACTTGGAGGACTTAAAGCCAAAACACATCTGCAGCCATAGTAATTTCACATATTTACTAGACCCTGAAAGATTTTTTTTTTGACAGGCAGAACCTTTTCCTACCCAAGCCCCCAGTGTTATTACAAGCTGTCTCCCCTAAAGCATTTATCACAAAATCAAGCCACCTTCCCAGGCTTCAGACTGGCAGGGCAATGGGCTGATCTCATTCATGGCCTCCTACAACACCGAAGATTACTGGCTTTCAAATTACAAGTTACAGGCTTGGTCAGACAGAAAGCCGCACAAAAGATCCTCACATGTAAAGCCACCACAGCTCCTCGGCTGCCAGTGTGGTTCAAAAGCTTGTATCAGTCTGTCTAAAAGCACTGACAAAAAGAAGGAGAACCAGTTAGAGAAGAAAATCAAAGCTTGAGAAGCTGCAAATAACAATAGAGAAAAATAAGTCAGCTAATAATTTTAAGTAAGAGTCACAGCCTTCAAGCCTTCCCACAACAGACTTATCACTTGAGCTGTTTACTGCGGATCAGAAAGCCTAACACTGGATGACCTTTGATGGTTTTTTTTGTTTCTAAAACATACTCTTTTACAGGTGATTCATAACAAGACAAATTCTCAAAGGGAGCCCAGTTATAGTGTGGGAACTCTTAGTTTCCAAAACAAAGGAGAAGGCAGGATCACTGACAAGTTCAAAGGGTTCTTTCAACACACTAAATCTCATACACCTCGAAATTAGCAAACAGTTTTATTCAAGCTCTTTGTTCACAGTTACAGAAAACCTAAAGTGGAGTTAACATACAGGCAATTCAGTGGTCAGGAGAACACAGAGGACAAGGACTCTCTGAAAGTAAATATTTAAAGTAATGGGCTGTCTCCACAAAAGCACAGAATAGTTGAGGCCGGCAGGGCCCTCTGGAGACCATCCCGTCCAACTCCCCTGCTCAAAGCAGGGTGAGCCAAAGCAGGTTGCTCAGGGCTAGATCTAGTTGTTTTGAGTATGTCCAAAGACGAAGACTCTACACTGCCCTGGACAACCTGTTCCAGTCTTCAGTCATCCTCACAGTAAGGAGCGAAGGGTTTCTTTAGCTCACAAAGGGCTTTCCTTTGTATCCATTGATTCACTGGTACTGACTCAGTTCTATCTGATGCCTGCCGTCACCAAGGGATATGACATCATTCACGTCAGCAATGACATACAAGGCTACTGACCCATCTACAAGAATGGACAAAGGGAGCACGGCTACACGATGAAAGGAAGTCCCTGTTCAATGGGGCAGGAAAACTGCATTAGGTGGCTAATTACAGGCCTGGCAGGACCAACCTGATCAATGTTTACCGCTCTGCACATTGCACTCGCTGCTTATAACTGTGTGAAATCACATTACTCAGCCTACAGCCTCCCTCAGGAGGAGGAAGGAAGGAAAAAGGGCCCAGGGCAAGAGATTTAGATCAGCTCAAGTCTGCGTATTGATACATGGGAGTGAGAGTGGATTGCTATCGGTGGCTTCTGACCAAGCAATTTTTCTTCTTTAAAAGTATGACAAATAACAAAATAAGATCTGTTCATTAGTTCCGCCTATCAGGTGAATCCCTTGAGTATGTTGTGAGAGATATGTGGTCCAAAGCATCTCCACCACTGGCCACCACATATTGCCACCCACACTGCTCCTTACCAATCCAGAACCTGGATTCCCTGTTTGCAGTAGTTTGGTTCCTCAAGTCTCTTCAGCAGGCAACCACCTGGGTACACTAACCGAACCCAACTGCTACCAGTTGTTTTTCACACTGACTGAGGGGATGCCTATCAGAGAGAGGTAAAAAAATTTGCAGTCATCCCCCACACCAGCACTTGGAGCAGTCTCTCAGCTTCTGTTCATGGGAAGACACCATCAAAAAGCTCTCTGGATACTTCAGTGGCTAGCAGAGTGGGTATTTCAGCAATAGTTTTTAGGAGCTCCCTTTCCTGGCAGAGTATTTTCACTATTTTTTGTTGTTGAGATTCTGAATCCATGCAAACTACTTTGCTCCTCAGTGTGAGTGAGCAAAATGATCTATCTCAGCATAGACCTTTCCATTGTTTAATATCTCTTAAAAAAAATTCCCTGGAGACAGAGAAGCCAAACAATCTTTAATTTTAGACCAGGGGTATGCAAGGACACAAAAAAGAAGTGTTACTTACTAATAGCCCCTGTGTAGGTTGGCTGTGTAAGGTCTTTTGGCACCTTCCTGTAGATGTCAAACCTGAAAGAGGAAAAGCAACAGCCATAAAACAGGTGGAACATTTCGATGTATTTCATGTCCCCACAGGGATGAATGATTTTCCATCCAGCTGAAGTTTTTCCATCCAGCTTTCCAACATTTTTTTCAGTTTGCAGAAGGATATGAGAAGAAAAAAAAAAAAAAAAACAAAAAAAAAAAACCAACCCCACCACACACAACATTTTTCATTTGTGCAATTATGTAACTGCGTTCCTTTTTGGCTCCAATTTCCAAAGCACTTCTCTCCACCTCCCTCTGCCTTGCTGTCATGGATCTGTGCAATCTGAACTGTGAGAGGTGCCAGAGAAGTAGTCAATGCTGGACAAGTTTATAGATCACCATAAAAGGAAAAGGATAGTCTACAGACTACTGAATAAAGAGGCTTGGCAAAGAAAAATAAATCAGTGAGACACAACTTGTATCACCCCTTGGAGTTTGCATCCTGCAATAGCCAGAAATTGACAATTCCGAAGTCAGAGATGAGGGCATTGAGACAAGAAACCTACTCTTGGACACCTGATACACTTGAGAAATTAACCCAAGCACTTTGCTACTCCCTCAGCAAATCCAGTTTAATAATAGTTTGTTGTTTTGATTCACTCATATCTTTTAATATCCATATGGCTCCGTTTTGCTATTTTAAACTCTCCATGGTTAAACTTACACTGCCCTTATAACGTTAGCTGTATTATTTCCTACAACCTCGTGTTCCTGCGCGTCCAGCCGCAATGCAGCTCTGACATCAGTTTTTCCACCACTCAATAAAAATTAATTAATGCATTAAAAACTCACACACACCCCTTAAAGAAGGAAGTGACTGGTTCTCCCCCAAAATAGATTGTTGTTTGGCTATACCACAAGTGGGTGAGATTTGATACTTTTCCAGCCCTGGAGAGGCACAAGAGAAACTGGCTTCCAAATTCCTATTCTATACTGCACCAAAATGAAACACCCCCATGTTTATTCAGCAGTTCCCTACTACAGCAAATACTATACTGAGAGTCTCAAAACTAGATAATCTTTCTTTTCTTCACTCCTCATCTGTTGAGATCACTTCCAGCGTGGAGGCACTGAGTGAACAAAACACCATTTCCTTTGCATTAGATTAGATGGCCATTGTTGCTGTCTTTCTTTCAGGAGCTGAAGCTGTAGGAAGGTTAGAGGGGAAGAACAAGCTATGTAATAACTTAACTGTTCCAACAACCCACTGCGATGCACTTGGTTGTCAGAGTGTGCTGTGTAGGATACACATGGAGCTGTATGTTTTCGTGACTCTACTCACTGCCATCTCCTGAACAGTTTAGTAATATTCCTGAACCAAACAGCCCATTTATGGCTCTCCTGCTGCTCTGAGAACATCTGGAAAGTGTTGTTTACATTCTTTCCACATACACCAAAGCAACTGCAGCAGCAGATGGTAAAGCAGCCCAGAGTAGCTGATGACATCATGGTCTCGCAGGCAGAGGAAGTAGCTGATGGTTCCTGCTCACAGCCACTAAGCACTGAAAGCTGGCGACGTCTCGCCGAGGTCACAATAATAGATCAACAAGGCTAAAAAAGCTGAGAAAGAAAAAGAGAGCACATGAGCACACAAGAGCTGCTGAGTGTGAGTGAACACCTAGAAATAGGAAATAGCTCTCTGATGGATTCAGTAAAGACAGCAGCATGTGGATACTATAAAAGGAAGTTTGTTCTTACAATGAGAAATATTTACTAGTATGATGACCCATCACAGGACTCAAAAAAATAAAAATCTAGCTTTTTAAATAACTCAGTGGAAAGCTGATGTCATGGCAGGGTCCACTCCTTTCTGACTGCCATTTTAATCACATAAGTAACACCCAAACCTCACAAAATAAGTTTTACATGACATAAGTAAGGTAAGATGAGGCAAAGACACCACAAAAAGTGATCAGTGGCTCCAGCCATATTTATCAACTGGCTTTAAGAGCCAGTCCACCATCTCTGTGCTATTCTGCTTACCACCTCTTGGATCACACCTCTCGGGTTCATACTTACATGCTCAGGCCTCCCTGCACACACAGTACAGCACATCTGCAACAGCTGTCCCATGAGGCCCTTAAAGCACTTTAAGGATCAGTTAAGGTATGAGCACAGTGAGTGTACAGAGCTTGCTAGGCAAACAACGTCCCAGCCTTGAATGCACAGTCTGGGGACACGTGCAAGAAGCGTATAGAACAACCCAGGAGAACTGCATAAAGCTTTAATGGCTTTATTTTGTAGAATTAGCACAGTTTTAGATAAGGACAGTCACTACAGAATAACACAGAATCAAGAGTGGACAATGTATGCAAAAGACACAAGAGCAGACTGGATGGTAGGGAGGAAGGAGGAAAGCTCAGTTAAGATCTTATGGATGATTGCAGAAGCTTGAAGGCTGACATCCAGACCCTGACTCAAGCAGCAGAAGGGACAGCAAGCAGGTCAGGTATATTTAAGCTTGCAGAAGGATGCTGAAATGATCACAGTTAACAGCAAGGGAATTGAAAAAAACAAGTTTGGAATAAGAGATAAACACTGCTAGATAGATTTTACTCCCTGACACGTGATACCAGTAAAGTCCAAAAGACGATCGGACCAAAAGAAAAAGGACTGGCTATGTGCAAGCATCCTGGCAGAACACTCATTTGCTTGGAAAAGACATGCTCTGGATTAGGAAGAGGTTTATACTTTGGCAAAGGAACAATAATCTTCAGGGTACCGGGCCACAGCTTGAGAAAGTACTTCTTGTACTGAGGCTTGTGAAAGCCATAGCTCCTACCAGACCTTTTAACCAGGAGTTAAAAATCTGATTAACTTTTAGACTCCACTAGACAAAGCGTTCTCCTTTTGACATAGGTTTTCAGGGGATCAGTTACACTGTCCTGGGAAGAGAAAAGAATGAGGGTTAGACACCACAAATGATTTGTAATGGATGAGGGAGGAGGCCATGGAGTTGTACCCATGGTAAAGGGGAACAGGTTTTACTTGCCCTCAGGTCAAACGTTCCTGAAAGTACCTGCAGTAAAAATTCCAATAAGCCTCCAGGTTCCTGAGGCATTGTGTCATTTGGAAGAGTATTTGTACCCTGGGAACAGAGAGGAACTTCGTGCGCTGCACATTGCAAAAGCTGCCTTAAAGATTTTGGATAGTGGCACATTCAAAGCAGTGGAAGCTCCTACTGATGTTGGAGGAGGACTGGATGTCCAGAAAGGTTTTACCAGGCGGCTTGTAACACAGCAAGACACACGGCACTACACTGTGAATATCCACTTTTGATAGTCCTGTAGCCATATCTTAACTGGCCATGAGAAAGCAGGGTGTGGAGTTACAGCACGTTCAGTGCCTCGCAGTAACTGCTAAGTCAACTCTCTTAACATGCAGTACTGTACAGCAGTCGACCCCCTTTCACGCAGGGATGTATCACCTGACGCTTACAAAGCATGCACACGTCCAGTTTGCACACGACAGGCAGCATGTTTTTATATATAGCTTCTAGCAACTTTCTTCCTTCACTCAGAAAGGCAAGACTTGTAAGGCAGAGTAATATCTCTGAGTTAACAAATAGTCGCAGAGTGGAAAAAACAAACTTTCTGCTAGGAAAGTTCTTCCTCCAGGTCATACTATCCTCATAAATGGAAGGCTGGGCCTTGGAATACCAGAATACAAAGCTAAAGATAGAACTAGGCTGTCAGCAGTATAACAAAGGAATTTCCTGACACATCTCATGTCTCTATTGTATTGTCTTTCAAAGCAGAGCACGGTTGCTAACAAAGAAATAAAAAAAGGCTGTTCAGCAGTGTCAGAGTTTCACAGGAACCAATATTCATAACTAACATGAGGGAATGCTACAATACTTTCTTCTCAATCCAAAGCTGACAGGACAAAAATCTTTTCACCTTCCTCATGATAATGTCAACAAACTGGTAGAACAGCATTGTAAAGAAGAGCAGCACAAGGATCATTCCTAAAAGGGTTCAAACAGAGAATTTGCAAATCTGAGCATCATTAAGCCAGGTCTGAGGCAGGAGTCCAATTGCCTGATGGACAGGTGTGCAACAGTCCTCCCAGAAGCACAGAAATCACACATTTGGTCTCATCTTATTGCAGCTGCACAAGTGAATGGCAAAGTAAAATTGCAGATGGGTGTACCTCTATGGAGCCAAAGAAAAGGGTGGCTTTCAAGTGCCAGTCAGTATTAGAAGGACTGCAAAAGCTGTATCTAGACTAAAAAGGGCTGTTGCTATTAAAAATTTTTTCTTCAGATGGAAGTTTATGCTCTTAATGTTCACTTTCTGGGATCTCTTAGAGACACAGAAAGCATCAAAGTGTTTATTGAACCAGAGCCTGATACAGTAGGGCTCATATGAGCAGGACAGCCACAATCATGTCCAAGGCTGGCTATGCAGAGCCAAGGGTAGGTCAAACCTAGCAGAAGGAAGCAAGCTGACATCAACAGCCCTGGGGTGATTCCCAGCTTTCCTTTCAAATCTGATTGACAGCACAAGACAGGTGACAAGAAGGGCAGAAGATGTCTACCCAAACACTGTGGGTTTTTTTCTAGAGTAGACACTTGAAATGCCTACCCTGAGAACAGGCATGAGCTCACTCCCTCAGCAGGAGCTGCTGTGGGCAGGGCTTCCTGCCAGGGCATGCTTTATATACACCTGAACAGCTTCAAGTCTGGATCTGAAATATTTCCGGAAATGAAGTAATGAACACATTATTTCACTTAAGATTACCATCCCACCGAACAGAAAAGTCTTCTCTGACATCTTTGTTGTTTGAGAAGAGCTTCAGTAAAATACTACGGTAATACCTTTGTAAGATGCTGTTAGCTTTCTCATGAGCAGGAAGCAAACAACGCAATAAAAAAAATATATATATAAATAGAACTAGACAGCAGTTAAATTTTAATGTTTTGTAGCAAATGGAAGCTCTGATACCTAATTAATTCATATCACAGAAGGATGAACACTAACTCCTTCTTCAATTTAGAGCATTTATTGCAATCCTCAAGGGTGCCCACCCCTCCGTGGTACAAACAAAGGAGCAATGCAGTGGCCGTGGCACTAAGGGCAGACACTCAGAGCACAGCTTCTCCATCCCCCTACATTACTGACTTGCTGCAGGGAGCCACTGCAAAGAGAGAGCAGGGGCTTCACCTCTGTCTGTGGAGCACTGAAACAACTATGGAACGAGCAACCGTGGGATGTTTTCATCCACTCTTCCACAAGGTCTGTTTTTACTGTTTTAACTAAGGGACAAGGGAAAGATTGCTTGCACCTCTTGGACTGTATTTTGGACTCCAGTTAATCAAGCGGTCAAGCAAAAGTGCGACACCTTCACTGTCATGAATGACACTTGGTCATAGAACAGAATTCAGGCATCATAATAAGTCAGCAGCAAACAGACTCATTTTCATCCCTTTCCACTCCTCATATGATTCAGAAATTTAGCTTTAAAGCTTACAGACAAGGGGAAAACATTTCTGTTCTTCAGGCAGACTATGTTTTTCCTCAGAAGAACTGAATATTTAAGCATTAGTTGCCCTTTGAAGCATACTGGCTCTATTGTAGGTACCTCTGCAGCATGTACTGAAGGGTGGTGTTTAGAGGACATGATCAATTACAGCAAATTACATTTCTGTCAAAGACAATTTAAAAAAATTAAAAACACCAATATCATGACTGACATTCCACCTTTAGCAGGTCAACAGTGGTGTAAATACATCATGTCATCTTGTCTTCGCAGCAAGGGTCCATGGCTGTGAATCAGACAGTATAATTCGGGTGTCGAAACAACACTTCATTCTCCACCTCCCATACTAACCAGCTTTTAGAAGTGCTATCTATTTTTTTTTAGCACATACATTTGAAGTTGAGGTCACTAATTCCTGATGACATTACTCTCAGTAACAAGTTCAGTGCACAGTGAACAACTAGCTTTAATTTCATTACATATCAGTAGCTTTGCGATCTCGTTGACAAAAGAGACAGCCTGGTGCTGCCAAACCAACTTGCTTCACTAGCAAATAACTCTACTTGAAGTGACTTGCAAGAACACCGCATTTAACAGCAGAAACATATCTTCACTATTAACTTAACCAAACAACTAACAAGTTCACAGCAGATTTGACTAGACTGAGGGGGAATTATCAAGTACAGATACAAAAGATAACTTTGAAAATACTATAACAATTATGTTGTTACTGCAGTAAGAAACAGGAAGAACTGAGGAGCCAGTGTCTGTGTTCCAGTATGCTGCATGTTGGAGACTAAGTGCTGGACAAGTGCTCATTTGTTATGAGTAGCGAGCAATGTCTCCATCACAACCTATCAGATACCATAATGTATCGCAAAGAGGAGAAAAAGGGTGTGGGGGAGGCATCCCTGGGGTTTCCAAGATAAAGGGGGAAATTCAGCTAAGAGTGAGACAGCTGGTGGAGCCTTGCAGACTGAACTGTCTCAAAGGTCTTCTACAACCAGCAAAAAATCCATCCCTGATTGCTCCCTTCTTGGTAAGAAACAACTGCTCTCAATTTTTCAGATAGAAAAAGAGAAAGGCAAGGCACCTACGACACAAAGAGGGACAGACTGGTTGTCTGAAGAAATGAAGAGTAACACACATTCCCAATCTGAGATGGTTTAAAGGACCAACAAAAGCCCTTGGTCAAGGGCTCAAGTTTAAATCACAGCACAAGGGAGCAAAGAAATCATAAACTCTGTTCAGTCATAAACTCTGTGGCAGTCAGCACTTCAGTGGGAGGCTGTGGGAAATTGATAGGGCTGTATCGCTCAGATTGCTGTTGAGATTCCTTCTTCTCACACAGTATTTACACATCTGCAGTACAGGTTAATTCACTCCCAGGAGAGCTGAGTAAGTCAGAACGCAGGAATAACTCTGCCTTTCCAGAACCTTTTCAAAATCAGGACTGTCACACTAAAACCACCGACCCATTCGTACGTCCAGAAACCAAGCTCTAAAACCCAGTACACCAGCAAACACCAAATTTGTAGGCCAAGCTCCCTGCTCTACAAAGTGAAACAAGATTAAGCTGGCTTTAAAGAACTACTTCATGCAAGAAATGTTTCCTTGCCCCTGCACAGGGGAATGTGAGTGAGTGAAAGCTGTTCTCCAAACTTGTTTTCCCTTCTGTTTCTCCACTTGCCACATTTGAGAAGTATAACAATACAGAGGTATCCCACACAGAGTAGACACATGAAGCTTTAAGAAACACATTTCTCAGAAGGTAGGTGCTCTTTGTCAAAAGAAGATAAAGCACTCTTAATTATACAGGGTTTCTTTGTCAGGTAGATAGACTGTGCATTTCTAGGAAGGTAGATTCATTCAAAACAACAATCCCAGACTGCTTTAGATGAAAACTACATGCACTGTGGAAGGCACACAAAGAGGAGGGCAGTTGTCAAACATACCCCTGGACAGTCAGGCCTATGCCAGCACCCATTTCAACTTTGATAAGAGTCATCTTGGGACAGCTCTGTCTGATAGCGGGTTAGAAAACATCTACTCTTTTTCTTCAAAAGCATTTACCATCTAGACATTCTAAATAAATTCATTTTAGGCTACATACATTCCTCTGAACTACAGCAGACTCTTTAATTACTTCATGTAGACAACAGTGAACACAGCCAACTAACAATTTCTATTCAGTTGCCATTGAAGAGACGAATCATCATCTTTAACTTTGAGAAGGATTAATTTTCCATGGAGACAGGGACATCACCTTGGGATCTGTCACTCTACATCTGCTCTTCCTCTTATTTCCTACCTGTCTCCTCAAATATTTCTGTTGTATGGCTGTATTACAGACATACGATTCAGAGAGCAGAGGTGGTTGGTCCAGTCACTCTTACTTGGTTCCTCACGGGAGCTCTAGATCTGATGCAGAGACAGACAACCAGTTCTTCCCACAAGACTTGTATAACTGCGTTTATTTTAAGTTTGTCATTTCACGACAGAAGAGGTGCATTAGCAGTTCTGGAAAACAAGGCGGGTGTGAAGCGGGGAGAGGAGAATGAGCAACCTCAACCCCACTTCAGGAAACATGTTTAAGTGCACACGAAATGAGCTGGAACAATGGCTCTGCAGAGTTTTCAACCAGTCCACAGTATGGGCTACTACACAACTTTTTTTTTCTTCATACTACCGCTGCTACCACCTCTGGAAAAAACATCCGTGTAGACAGCAGAATTTATGGACTATGATTCATTCAATACCTGCTGCTATTAAGGCTCTTAGCAGAGCTACCACTTATAGCTGAGAATCCAGCAATTCACTTTGCATAAAACGCTCTGTCATTTATAAGGAGGACATGGGAAGCAGGAAGAAACTCAGTAAATAAATATAAGTTGGATTAAGGCCATCTGACACTCAAAGATGACTGCGCACAGACTCCATTTTCTCTCTCCAGGAAAAATTTAGCAGAGGTTGGTGTTGCAAAGGGGAGATCAGAGTTCAATCACTGTGTCTGTCTGAGAAGCTTTGTTCTGTACCCCAATATCAGTGTAGCTTAGAGGCAGAAGGGGAAAAAGAGGCCACACTGGGTATCTTCTATGTGAATTCATGGAACCAAAAGGAAGCTCTGGAGAGACTGTTGTCAGAGGAAGATCAATCAGGCTGGAGACCAATGGCAAAAGGGAAACACACTTCCTTTAGTACCCAGTGGTATTTCTACAGAAACCTTCCCACTAATGGCATGCTGTTTTGTGGCAAGGACTACTTATATCTTTGTGATCTGCTGATTGCTCAGGCAAAGAGACATCCATCACCTAACCAAAGTTTAAGAATCAGAAGCATACAAAGTGTGTGAGAGAAAACCTGCCTCCCCACCAGTACAATGGACTGCAGGGTCTCTGTTCACCAACAGGTTTTATAGGTTTCATGAAGCAACTCGGCAAAAGAGCTGGCTTAGAGAGAACCCACTGAAACAGCCGGTAACTGGCACTCCCCATACGCCACAACACAAATACGGAGTAAAAGCAGATTCTCAGGCTGTAGCTACCAGCCTAAGAAGGGGAAGAAACTGCTGCACCAGGACTTTGTCTCTATTAAAGCAGCAGTGAGAGAGAGATATTTAACAACATCAAAAAAAAAAAAAAAGATTACAGGGTGTGGCATATAGAATACTCCAATACTACTAGAAATACAAAAGATTTTAAACAAAGCAAGTCACTTAGCTAAGAGCTTAAAATAAAAAAAGAGTTGTTTAACAGGCAGCAACAGTTCCTCCATTTCCTTGGGTCACTGCTCTCAAATAATGACTTCGGGACAATTCATCCTCCTTTGTCAAAGTGGCCTTAACAGCTTTTAAACAATGGGCAGTAGGAGGGAGCCAACCACACCAACTGAACAGCACTCAGCCCTAGATACTTTTTAACCTCTTCAGAGGCCATTTAATTCTAAACAAAAGCAAGTAGGCTTATACATACACCCTCACTCCACCAAATGCTGTGGTAGAGGTAGGCACCTCCACCACAGCGTACCTTTCTGACTTTGCTCCTCCACAGCATGCTCACAGTAACACCTTTAAAAGCAAAGCTGTTACTTTTGTATCAAGGATAAAACTAAAATCACCAATTTTGCTTTCAGTGTGACTCTCCCAGCCAAGTGATATCTAAAGGTAGAACAGCTCAGCTGAGTCAGGTTTGCACACACAGTGCTCTTTTGATTAACAAAAGACCATTTACTTAAAAAATAAAATCCCAGGCACCCAATTGAAGTTGCTTAGGGTACTTTTATTGTCCGTAGTTGTTAAAACCACACCTAGAAAAACTGTGACCAGGACCAGAGAGAAAAAAAATTAATCTCCTCACTTGTTAAATTGATTTTATTCAACAGTGTAACAGCAGGCTGACTTTTAGGGTATGCAGAGGCAGCCTGAAAGACCAGCTACCCCGTTGCACATGCCTAATGATGGAATATTTGAAAAAATCAAAACAGTAAAGAAGGTGGCCCAGAAGAACAGCTAGTATCTGGGACAAACATGATAAAGGAACAAGTGGGACAAGACTCCCATCTGCCTAGTCACCCTGAGAGGGGTTGGACATAATCCAGCCCAAAAAATTGCTGAGCGGCACCCTATGTCACCTGTCCGGCCACCTGCTCATTCCTCTCCCCTCTCCCAGCAGAGCCTGGCTATGTACCTGCGGGCTTGAAAGCTGCTAGGGAAAAAAAAAAAAAAAAGAGTCAGACCTGGTCTGACTACCTCTTTGGAACAAGTCCCTAAACAAGGGAAGTACAGGCCTGGGAGAAGATGAAACCCCTAAGTAAGAGGGCTGTAGTCCTCTAAACAACAGAGTATGAAGCTGTCTGAACCACCACGTTCCCTCCAAAGTGATGTCGGAATGCAAGAGGGTCTCTCTCAGGGACATTGGAAAGAGCATTAAAATAAAAAGACAAGATTTACAGAGTAAAGTTATGCCAGAACTAATTCTTTTTGGTTATTTTGTTTTGTTTTTAACTGGGGAAACATCAAGAACAGTATATCTTTAAGTAAAATCTCCCTTATCTTCCTCTAAAAAAGCAGTGACTTCCAAGTCCCTGGGCACTTTCAACTTCTTGTGGTCCTTGCTATACCTGTGCTGGACAAAAATCCAGAATTCTGTTCCACAGACCTACTAAGGAAAGAATTTCTACATAACAGCAAACTCACTCTAAAACAGTCTAAAGGAAGTAAGAGATGCCTTATTCTAATGTGTAGGAAGCACTAATTTTTCTATTATTTCAGAGAAATATTGGTTCAGGATTTCATTCTGAGATTCTTCCTTTAGATCAAACTGCTTTCCTTCCCATCCAAAGGCAAGCACATGCTGTGACAACTCTGCAAGAACACTTAGCTCCTACACAACCCAGCACAGATAAAAAGTATTAACTCTTCTTCCAACAAAGTAGGTGGAATCTATCACCCTGTTTTACAGAGTGGGAAAACAATGGCAGGAAGTTAGCAGCAGAGAAATAAAACACAAACTACCGACTCCAAGCACTTCATTTTGTGATTGTTAATTCTTTGCTTAAATGACATTTCTATGTTTCCTGTCTGCTGGCAGATGAGAACATAATGTGCTGAGAGCAGCTCAGGGCAGCTCCTGGGACAGCCATGCTGCGATACTGCAGATGGGATGCAGCAGTGGGAGCCAACAGACCCGAATTCTGTTCTGCTCCCAGCACTGACTCACTGTGTAATTTCTGTTCCAGTTAATTAAATCTTTCCTCTTCAGCTTCTTCATTTTGCAGAGTGGCATCCGGTAACATCTGCCCCCTTTTCATCAAGCACACCGAAACCCCGAGATGAAAAACTCTGCAAAAATGTAAAGTGTTACTGATAGAAGTTTCAACTTCTTTGAAGGTCTGTACAAGGAAAGCTGCAGGAATATGGGCTTATGAAGACAAGCTGGATGTGCACTACTAGAGCTAAGCCTTGGTTCAGTAACAGGGTTGTGCCTAGAGTGCATGGGTATAAACAATCTTGACCAGGAATGGTTTCCTGAACTGGGACACAAACTTCGAAGCATGTGGAAAGTAAAACAAGTGATCCTGTTAACCTCAGTTTCACACAGAAAGTAAACACTGAAGATACAAACAGCAAAGCTTACCCCTGAATGTGAGTTCAAGATGCAAATACAGATTCAGAGCAGGACTAACAAACCGATACTTGTAAATACCAAGCAGTTATTAACACATTTTATAAGATTAACACCTGCGTAACAGCATATAATATACAAACATCATTAAGTAATCAGCTAGTCCTCATTTACACACAATGGGATATTAACACACATACTGCAGAAGTTGAGCTTCAATGGATGAACTCTCAAGGCTTCAAAATTCCACTGGAAACTGTAATCCTGAACTACTTCGACCAAGCTCTGATATATGAAGGATACATGCACGTGAAAGGTGGGACAAGGAGGTTGAGGGGCTAACGCAGTTTTAAACTAGCTTTTCTGTACTGCAAACAGATGAAGACTGCAATTTTCAAATTCTGTATGACTGCTGACTTTATCCTCCAAATATTTAGTTTTTGACTTTCTGACTCTCCACACTTTGAAGCCCAGGAGTGAAATGTAGGAATAGGTTTCCTTGCCAGCCAGCTCCTCCCTCTTAATTCTAGTTCCAAGAACATAATGAAACTAAGAGAGGAAGTTTCTGAAACAAGGAGGAGTGCTGAGACAAAGAAAACAAGGTTAGCCAGGAGGACTGTCATTAATTATATAATCCAGTACCTGGTTAACTGGACATTCAGGGAAAGGGGCTGAATGTCAGAGGCATCAGCCTCTGCAGCATTATGTCATCTGGTTTGCTAGTTACTCAGCAGGTAAAGGATAGGTACAGGAGAAGAAACAAACCCATCTTATTTCTAGGACAAGACTATGAATCCACACAACACTTGCAGAAATAGGGCACAAGAAATAAATGCATTCTGCTCCTGTTTAAATAGATTTCTTCCCAAGGAGCTAGTTCTCCTGT